GCAGTAAGGCTGAGTGTCCCATGGCAACACCCTCAGTGTAGTTTTAGTTCTCAGTAGCCCTGCCTGACTGTGCCTTTGCCATAATTGGGGGAATCACTTAATAATAGAGGCAGTCCACTTGGAGAAATGGCTGTAAAACTGCAGCTAGTGTTTATTGGGAGCTGATGGGTCCTGTCTCTCTGATCCCTCCTTTGTAGCACCTAAGCGTGTTAACAGACCCTGTGCTCACGAGTCGAATGCCTGCAAGTGGCAGCTGAGCACAGGTTCAAACGCAGATCACTCGTGTGTGTGTGTGTTTGCCGAGCGTAGAATCAATCACAGAGCAGTTCCTGTGTGTATTTTTTGAAATTGGAGTCCTTAACCCCCTTCCTTCTGGTGTCTGGAAGTAACAGGTATCTGTTTTTCATGTACCAAGTATTGCGACAGAATGAGTTGGGTCTTTGGGGGAGTTCCTGGCCTTGGCTTTTTGGTGTAGATGCTTTTGTCTTGGGTCATTTGCATTGAAGCGTAAATTGTAGAAGATGTGTGTTGCAGTTTATTCTGTGATAGTGTTTGTACTAACAGGGATGGGCCATGGAACAGTGGCGATTCCAGTGGCTCTGACAGGTGATGTTGGGACAAAGGCAGCTGGGAAAGCAAACTGCACAGGTTTGTGACAGAGTAATGCTCTTTGTTGTTACTGGAAATGGTTGCTGGGGTTTTAGCCACTTTTCTGTAGTATTGCTGTTGTCCCCAGTGCAGAGCCTTGTGCTCGTACGTGCGTGCTGCTCGGGCAGGGTTGGTGTGGAGCCTCCCAGCTGCAGGATGTGCCAAAGTTGGTCATACAGCTGGAAACTGGTATTCTTCATGAGCAGGACAGGATGCAAGCAGAAAGAGCAGGTGCTTGGTGCGGTGTGTTAGACTGAGAGAATTTGGGAGCTTGGCTGTCAGTGCGGGGAGGGGGAGCGAGCGGCTCCGCAGTGCTCACCAGGGTAGCGCTGGGGTGGGTTTGTCTCGTGCTGTAGTTCTGGACCGATGGTTTGTGAGCAGTCACAGGTGGTCAGCTGGGACATTAAAACCCGGCCCCAGCCCCCTGTATTTCTGAATGTCAGGTTTGTCACTCTTCGTTTGTGTCCCCTCCCAGGTCGGTGGCTGTGGGACGTGAGCTGGGTCTGTCCGTGGGACGTGGCTGGTGCTGACTCTTCCAGCCTGTGGGCTGCGGTTGGTGCCGTTTCCCCGTTGCATTGAAATGGAAGAGCTTTTCTTGTGGCCAGAGATTTTTGGCCTCATTAGCGCAGAGTGGGAAGTACGAAAAAGGCAGAATCTTACGCCTAGATGAAGTCTTGGAAATTTGTGTTAATTATGGGGGAGGGAGCTGAGCTTCCAGATTTTATTGCCCTCCCCACCCCCAGTCTGAGAATTTAATTCTGTTCACTGTTATAAAACTTGGATTTCTTAGGGTATAATTGAATAATAATGTTGGACTACATTCCCAAGGCATTCCTAAGGGGATATATTTTTTCATCCGAGTACACAGGTGTTCTGCCTGTGCTGGTGAAGGCACGAGTTGTGAAGGAGAGGAGAAAAGGTACATTTTATAGGGTGGTGCTTCCAGAATCTTTGTACTGATTTCAGAATCCCTCGTCCTGTGTGCGAGCTGTCTCGTGGACAGGGAGGTTTAGTGAGACATGGGAAAGAAATGGAGTGCACAGGTCGCTTACAGCCTGACCGGGTGTGTGGCAGTGCTGTCCTCCCTCCAGTGCCGTGTGTTCGGGCAGTCCTGGGGCACTGGGCCGGACCTGTGGGGTTGCTGGGCCGGGGCTCCCTCAACCCTTGACGGTGTGACCGAGGTGTTGTGGTGTGGAGGTCAGGGAACAGCCAGGGTTTGTCACTCCTCTGCCAAGGCATCACCGTGGGAACACTGCAAATAACACTTTCCAAGAGCCTTCACCTGCAGCTTGAGGATAATGGTCAGATGATGCTCTGGGCAGTTGGGGTGGAGAAGCAGGATCCCCTTGAGAGCTGAGCGGGTTGTGGTTGACTTCAGATGGAGTAAAATCGCACAATGAGCAGCAAGAGAAATGGCTCAAAACCACTTTGAACACGTTACTGGGTTGTTTGCTTTCCGTCAGATCGTGCAGTTGGAACTGATACGTTTGATGGAAATATATTTCCATACCGAGATGTCATCTTGTCTTAAATCAAGTTTATAGCGGTTTTATATTTCCTACTGAAGGAAGTGTTCCTTCTAATTCAATTTTTTTTTACCAGAGATAGAGAATGATAAGTTTAGCCAAGCAATTTAATTACAGATTTACATTTTCAAGATGCCTGTGAAGGTGCACGTGTGCTTATTTCTCTGGCTCTGGGGGAGGATGGAGGGGAGTTTTCATATGATTTCTCACGTTAGGACAAATCAGTTCATTGCCAGAAAGTTCTGCAGCACTCTGTGCGTGTGAGGGAGTTCCTCGCTCTCGGGGTTTAGTTGTCATTCATTGTGAACCATTTTGGGGTTTGTGTAACGCAGATCCAGTTTGGTTTCAGTGAGTGGATGGAGCAGAGGGTTCCTGCTTGGCATCCTACAGCATGCCTGGGGCTGGGTGGGGAGCAGGGCTGAGCTCGGGTGTGCTGGGTGGGTGGGGAGCAGAGCTGAGCTCCAGTGTGCCAGGTGGGGAGCAGAGCTGAGCTCCAGTGTGCCAGGTGGGGAGCAGGGCTGAGCTCCAGTGTACCAGGTGGGGAGCAGAGCTGAGCTCCAGTGTGCCGGGTGGGGAGCAGAGCTGAGCTCCCCTGCCCGCCTGGGGCCGCAGGGCACATTGTCTGCCCAGGCTGTCTGGGGACCGGCAGCTTCCGGGGTGCTGCGGCTCAAGGGTGTCGGGGTAACCTTGTCTCAGCGCTCACCAGGCACCGGATTGCGGCTCTGAGCAGAGATGCCGTTCATTAACAGAGTTGGCAGCCGCAGTCATTAATCATCCTTGTAAACACTTAATGACACGGTGCGAGACAGAAGAAAAAGTTAAACATTGGAAATGTGAAATGCTACCTCGGGCTTTGGTTCCGACAGGATTCTCCATTTACAGTCTCTGTTGGGAGAGCCCAGAATTTCCGTGGTAGAAAAAGCCAGTAGTAATTGCTCCGTGTTCTTGTGCTTGTCTGAGGGGCATGGCAGAGCTGCTCTGCTCTCTGGAGTCAGCCAGCATTCATGTTTGCAGGTCTCAGGTATTGCTTGGGAGGGTATGCAAATAAGTGCAATTATGAAACTCTGTATTTGAGCATTATTTAGCATAGGAAGAAATTCTTAGCCTCTGCTACCCTGGGGCCTGAGTCGCGTGTTCGCTGACATCTCTGCTCTGGCATTCTTGCTTTGCTCATGCGACACTGACATTCTCCACTTGACAGCAAGTTATTTGCTGTCTTTTCTCCAAAGCACAAGAGAAGATCTTGAAGGTTTGGAGAATTGCCTGAGGGACACGAGGGGCCCAGACTGATCAGGGAGCGAGTCTGGAGCCTTTGGGCTGGCTGTGGCTCTGGGAGGCGCTGGCAGGGAGGAAGGGCAGAGCGATCGATCGGTGGGTGCTCCCCCAGCTCCGCTCAGCCCCGG